GAGCCTGGAAGTGGGCAGGAGTGAGCTAGAAGAGGTCAGTGGGAGGACAAGGGGGACATATGTATGTCATACTTTCAACAATAAAGATTTAAAATCAGTAAATAAAAAGCCTGGAAGTCATCATCTTTGTCTCTAACAGCTTCTGCCCCTTGCAATTTCTCATGAATCTTCCTATTCATCGCCTCTTCTTCCCTGATCCTGTTCTAATTTGAGATCTTATTTTCTCACTTTACAGCCTTTCTCTGATCCTAGTCTCCTTCCTGCCTCATTCCATCCTATGCCAGGTAAATCTTAAGGCACAGGTCCAACCAATTAAGTGTTTCCTGGTGCCCTCATGTGCACCCGATTCATCACACAGCTGGAATCAGTCAACACTACTTTCCCCATCGCATTATAATCACTCTGTACACAGGCCTTTAATCCGCAACCAGACTCTAAGCCTCTGTGAAGAAAAGACCTATGCTTGATAACCCATCTCAAATAGCATCCAACACAGAGCTTTTCACAGCATAGGAATGTAATTAATATTTATCTAAGGAAGTAGAGAATGAATGGACATTCTACCTCTAGTCTCTCGTCACCACACACATACCAGGTATATCCCCTCTCTGTACTTTAATAAAACTATATTTGACCATCCATCAAATACCGTATTTTCCGGCATGTAAGACGACCCCCTAATTTTACAGTTAAAACATAGGTTTAGGCCTATATTCGCTGTATAAGACTACCCCCCCCCCCCCCCACTTCCGAGGCAGCACCAGTTCTTTTTGTAATAGACCGCCTCTCTGACTCTGGCCAATCTGAGCAGGCTTTTTACTAGAACACAGTGTAGCTTCGGGTACAGAACATGTACCGTATTTTTCGGACCATAAGACGCACTTTTTTCCCCCCAGAAGTAGGGGGAAAAAGTCCCTGCGTCTTATGGTCCAAATATAGCCTACACATATACTTTAAAAAAAAAAAGTTTTTTTACTTGCCCGGCTCTGTGTGGTCTCTGTGTGCTTGCCCGGCTCTAAAATGGTTCTAAATGCTGCTGTTTACTTTACAGGGTTGATTACATGTGTTTATGACTGTGATGTTGGGTTTTAATGCACATAAAATATTTTAGGACACTTTGTTTCAGAATCTTTTTTTCTTCATTTCCCTTCTCTAAAAACTGGTGGGTCTTATGGTCCGGAGCGTCTTATGGTCTGAAAAATACGGTACACTGTGTTCTAGTAAAAAGCCTGCTCAGATTGGCCAGAGTCAGAGAGGCGGTCTATTACAAAAAGAACTGGTGTTGCCTCGGAAGTGGGGGGGGGGGGGGGGGAGTAGTCTTATACAGCGAATATAGGCCTAAACCTATGTTTTAACTGTAAAATTAGGGGGTCGTCTTATACGCCGGAAAATATGGTAGTCCATTACCATTCTAAAAAGAAGCTGAAAATAGCAGGATCTAGATTATCCCTTGGGAAAGGAAGAAGTGTAAGATCGGGAGAAAACAGTTATGTTTTATTTGTTAACTTAAGGAGTGGGTAGACAAATGTCATTAGTCTTTACATCTTTTCCATTCTCTACATCTTTTTAAATGCCTGAAAAAAAGAACCAAAAATATAAGGCATCGATAATAACTTTAACATAGATCCAAAAAAGACCCACACCTCCCAATGAGAGAGTTTGGCATTTAATGATTCTGCTGTTTTGTATGTGTCAGTTTTACTTGCTAACCAGACTGCCAGAAGAAAAAAAAAAAAGTTTAATCATGTTTTGAGATTGATCTTCACTGAGCAATGACTCACAAGACTAAAACTTTCTCACCCCTCCCCATTCCAAGCTTGCTCAAGTAGCTAATGACAGATTGAAGCAGACCTAAATGGATTATCATTGCCCTTAATTTAAAGAAACACAGCTGTGAATCCTATTATAACTTAATAATCCTCTCTAACTTATCTGGTTTTTTACTTGCCCTTAAGGCAAAGGTATTATTTTGTGGGTAAATGACATTTTCCCCCTAAACAATATGTTGCTTTACTAAAAAGGTTTAAACTTGTGGAGAACTCATTCTGTGTGACAGAGCCATTCTATAGGAAGAGAGGAACTGCATTTTGTTTGAGGACCTTATTATTCACTCTTTTTTGCCAGAGTAGAAAATGCTGTTCTTCAAAAATAATTTAAAACATCAAATAAAGTAGAATGTCTTTCCCTAAAGATGTATCCAGATGAATTCAAACTTTTAACAGGATCTTTTGCTTGCATTAAAAATGTTTATCTGTCCATATAACCACTTCCCAGGTAGTTAAAATATGCAACTTATATATAACTGTAGTTACTTATAAATTAATAATTTTAAAGTGCTCATTGATTTTATTTTACTTTGATTTAAATTGTATACAGGGAGCCAAGAATCAAGAATTTATGGAGCTACATGACCATAAAGCAAGGCAGCTAGCCTGGTGAGGGTATGGCAAACATTTAGGAAGAACATTTAGGAAGCTATTTCATGAGACTATGAGAAAATTTGAAAGCACTTTGCTAGGAGCTATTTTCATAGAGTCTGTTAGTCTGGTGAAGACTAAGATGCTATTATTGACAGCACCTGGAAAAATGTCCTAGAGATTTTTTTTTAAAAAAGCCCAAAGGCAATATAGAAAACATAAGCCCAAGTTTTAAACTAAAACTTAAGTGATGACATGAAACCCTAGAACTGGATCTGTACATGCGTGGGTCAAACTCAATTAGCTTTAATTCAGCCCAGCCTCTCTGGTAGGTTCAATGACCTGGACATAAAATGTACATGTTAGTATGTCAAACTTAATTCCATTGAAATTTAAAGGATTCCACAGGAATTACAAAACACAGCATCCTTGGCTCTTTGTCAACTTGGATTCTGTTAGGCAACCACCTCCTCCTCATCTAACAGATAACTCTGCATGGTCTTCCACCAATACTATGACTAACTCACACAATGACCATGTGCCCACACACACGAACAACACCCTTTTCCAGACACCTAAAAAAGAGAAAATGTACCCTGTTTTTTAATTCTATGCAAAACTTCTGGAAACTTCTTGTCCTTATTCAAAGCCCAGGTATGTCATAATTTCAGATCCTCTGCAAACTGATGTCAAATCCAAGAGCTTAAGTCTTAGCAGTGAGTGCTCATGAAAACTACAGCAATATCAATCACTGCCCTTGAATTCAGCTCAACTGGCGGACAAGCATAAGAATGCCTCCTCAGCCCGAGAAAGACAGCCAATTCCGCCTTAAGCAAGAGGAGGGAAGTTGACAATGGAAGCTATTTATAAACTTTTTCTTTGCCCAATGAAAATCCTAAATTTCTCTCCCATTCTCACTCTAGCAGAAGTCATTAACTCTAGACAGGAACTCAACAATACTCTCCATCAGGGAGGAAGAGGTTATATAATGGAGGCTAGGCCAGCCAGAATGCCAGGGACATAACCACCCAGGATTACAAAGACTTTGAGGGTGGGAATGAAGGCAAAAGGTGGCAGGCTTATTCTGAAATGGGAAGATGACTGATACTTACTTTAGAGGAACAGTGTTTTATTTTTCCATTCAACACTCAGAACATAAATGAGAGAACAGAACAACACTCGGACACCCTGCACATATGAATTCACAACAAAGAGGGTCCCCATGTATGTCAGATGGCCATCCTAACCAGATACCACCGTGGACTCTCTCGTCTTCATCACCGCACACCCTGCATATCCCTCAGCACAAATCCTAGTGTGAGCCCTCTACCTAAGCCTAATGTCTGGGTGCATGGCCAGAGGAAAAAGGGTGGAATTTCTCATGCTAAGCCACACACACCATCTCCTCTTCCCTGTCCCACGTGCCCAGCTCCTGGATCCTATCACATCCACCATCCATCCCAAACTCCTCTTCCCAATTTTCATATTTCGCTAATCCCTCCTCTCTCAATTCATTTTTAGCTTTATTTTCAGCACTACCACCCCACTCCATGTTCCTACTCACTTCCCACCATGCAAAATGCAGAAACACAGAATACACACCTGGTGGTTAGCACACAAAGGGGCTGTATGCCCACACCCCACAACCCAGGAGAGCAGGGTGCCAGACATTTCTAAGTGCAAATATGGATGTGTTTTTCAGTCTCTTTCAGCATTTCTACATGAGCTTGTGCCCACATTGAGGGTAAAACAGGTTCCCTATGTAGGCCAGGATTCCTTAACATGTTTATTTAGGGAAATAGGATGTAAATAAAAAACAAAAATTAAAGACCAAAGCATTGTCAGTTGGGCAACCCACTATCCCAGGAAAGGAACAAAGGGATAAATTCTTAAATTGATTTTTTTTTAAATAAAGGACTACTAATACATCTATGAAATGCTATAACTTTGTAATGCCTGTTACACATATTTCCAGATATAAGGGGGAAAGCAAAATATAAAATGTCTTTTTGAAAAGTTTTCAATGAGTCTGGGTTTTTTGGGTGTGTGTGTGTGTGTTGTTTTCTGCCCTCCTTCCATATTCCCCTAAAGAAAAACTTTAGATGTTGAGAAATAAGCTTTCAAAATCTGCCAGATGGTTTAAGTAAGCTAGTTATTAGAAGCTTCATGCAGCTAACGTTTCAACTTTCCAGTGAAAGCCTGTTGTTGAATATTCTAAAACGATGGAGTACTAAAAAACAAAACAAAGGCTTGGGAGCAGTCTCGTGGCTGCTTTTTCATATTCCCCCCATGCCGGAGAGGTCAAACTTGAGAGGAAATAAGAGGTGAAGCCTTCAACAATGCATATGTACTCACTCAGCTAGTCCTACACTATGCACATAATTCCAAGAATGCACATTAGTTGAACAGACCTCTGTAACTAACTGAGGGGGGCGGGGGGACCTCCCTAACACATTGAGTTTAGCAAAAGCATTCCTGCAAGAGGCACTCAAGTTTCACTCAGAAATGAAAAGGACTTACATACAATCTTCTGGGGGAGAGGCGACTGGGAAGGGGGAAGGATCATTGAAAACAGATTCTTACCATTCTCATTAGGCTCTGTTGGCTGGGACACATCTCTGAACGGGATTATAACTGCATCTCCAGGCACTCTGGGGCTTTCCACATACTTGGGCTTCCTGACGGGACCTGTAGTGGGAAAGATCTGAGTGTGGCTAATTTTTTCCAGATGCAAAGCTCAGCATGTGTAGTGTGTGTCCTCACCAGGACCCAAACATGCCTAAAGGAAGAGCCAGCCCTCTTCCCTCCCCTCAGCGCGCGAGCAGGCAGACACACACACACACACACACACACACACACACACACACACACACACACACTCTCAGTCATCTCAGTACAGACACGGGAATGTCCAGCCTGCCTGCCAAAGAAGAAGTGGGTAAGGTCAGTTTTGAGAATGTAAACTTGGACAGAAACCAAGCTGCTCTTCTGCGCTGAAGTCCCTACAGCTGTCCTCGGTGTGTGTCAAGTAAGTGATTTTGACATGTTCGAACCTGGACGGCTTGTGGCGAAGGACTTTATCTTTGGAATTTTTCTCCAACTGGGACTAAGATGATTGGGTGGCTTGGTCGCTCCAAAGTCTGGAGGCAGGGATTGCAAACAGCCAGCCTGTAATATCAACACACTCCGAGCAGCCTCAGAATGCAGGCATTTTATCAGGCTGTGACGGAGGGCAACTGTGTGGGCAGAGAAGACGACTGCTTTCTTGGCAGCTGACACGGCTGCCTGCACAAAGGCGCAGCAGTGAGTCCGGCGTGCGAGTCAGAGATACGAGAGAGCTTCAGAGTCAAATCTCTCACTTCTCCCGCAACCCCAACTTAACGGGAAATCTGGAATTATTACGAAAACTGAATGGAACCCTCTCGCATTGCTAGGGCAATGCACAGCAGCCACTCTGGAAAACAGTTTGGCAGTTCCTCAAAAGGGTTAAACAAAGTTACCAACTGACCCAGCAATTCCACTTCTATGTGAATGTACGTTCCCACAAAAATTGGTGCGTGAATGTTCCTACTTGCATTATTCATAACAGCTAAATGTCCATCAACTGATGACAAGATGTTATATATCCACACACTGGAATATTATTGGGCAACAAAAAGGAATGGAGTTCTGATTCAGGCATGCCACAACATGGGTGAAACCTGAAAGCACTGTGCTAACTGAAAAGAGCCAGTTACCAAAGACCACATACTATATGACCGCATTCATATGAGTGTCCGAAAGAGACAAATTAATAAGAGACAAAATACGAATTGTTGACAGAGGCTGGGAATGCACAGACTTATGGGGTGATGGCTTACGGGTATGGGACTTCTTTCTAGAGTGATAAAAAAGTTCTAAAACTAGAGTGTGCTGATGATTGCACAACCTGAGACTGCTAGAAATTGCTGTAGTGTACACTTTAAATGAGTAAATTGAATGTTATGAGAATTATATCTAAATAAATCTGCTTACCTCCAAAAAAGATTACCTATTTTGTCTGCTCATTTGAAACATCATATGACATTTTGGTCCCAAATCCTACTGGGCTCTCATTTTCTTGGTTGCCTGATGCTGAACGTGGGCTTTTAACAAAGCCACAGAGCCAGGAAACATCTCACACAGGTTAAGAGGAAGGGTGGCGGGAAGAGGGCCAGACAGGGGTCCACAGTTTTCCCAGTGGCTCAGCCCTGAGCCATGACCCTCTGAGGGCCTCAACTCCCTCACCACACACTGGAGGGATGAGTCAGCCTAATTCTGAGCATCCTCCTGTGTCAAACATCTTATACATCTGAGGAATTCTGTTCAGAACGACGTTTATGGTGAGAGATGCTGCCATCTAAAGGTTTCCTGCAAAAGCATCTCTACTACCATAAAAAATAACCCAATGCCCAGACAGCTATATAATGCACCACATCTTAACAAATAAACAAAAAGCTACATTATCAAAGAAGTGCATGGTAGCATGGTACTAGACAAATAGGGATATTATTTCCAACTTTGGACACCCTCGATTCGGAAACCTTTCTCTCCTCCAGGATTCAATCTGAGATTCCTCTGCATTCTGTTGCATTTAGTCATCCTGTCTCTCCCCCCAATCCCCACCCCTTTCTCTTCCTGGCAATTCCTGTCTTGCCTTGTTTCTCATGACCGTGACTATTTTGAAGCCTACTGGTTGGTGTTTTATTCTATTTCCCTGGATTTGGATTTGTCTGATGTTTCCTTGTGATTAGATTTGGGTTATAGGATTTTGGAAGACACCACCGGGTGGCATGCCCTCCTCATCACATCTTATTGTATTAGGTCTAGTAATAATTAATGTCGTTTTCTAATACTTTTTTTAAATCGAATTTATTTAAACAATACAACAAAATTTAATCAACAATATAGTTGCCGTTGTTTTCTACTACTTGTGCCCAACGCTCAGGAAGCATTTTAATCCCGCTGTTGTAAAATTCTTGTGATTTTGATGCAAAAAATTCGGTCAATGCATTTTTGAGGCATTCTTCATTATTAAATTTTTTCCCAAGAAGAAAGTTTTGCAAAGAACGAAACAAATGGTAATCGGAAGGGGCAATATCAGGAGAATATGCAGGTTGAGGGAGAACTTCCCATTCCAACTGGCGCAGTTTTTCAGCAGTGATTCTTGCAGTATGCGGTCGTGCGTTATCGTGGTGAAGAATTACACCCTTCCGATTAATCAGCGCGGGTTCTTTTTCTCTTAAAGCTTGGGCTAACCTTTCCAATTGGGCACTATACACTGCACTTGTAATGGTTTGGTTAGATGGTAAAAGTTCATAATGAAGAATTCCTTTAAAATTCCACCAAACACACAACATCACTTTTTTCGCATGCAAGTCAGGTTTTGGCGTGGGCTGCGGAGCCTCATTTTTGTCCAACCATTGAGGCCGCCTTTTCAAATTAACATACAGCACCCATTGTTCATCTCCGGTAACAATTTGCTCTAAAAACAGCAAACGGTTTTGACAAGAGAGGAGCGAACTGCAAATTGTGACTCTTTGATTACGGTTGTTGTCGGTCAACTCATGAGGAACCCATTTTCCAAACTTTTGGACTTTGCCAAGTGCACGCAATTGGTTGGAAATTGTTTTTTGTGAACAATTTAAAGTTGTCGCAAGCTCTTGTTGGGTCATTTGAGGATTTTGCACCAAAAGAGCTTGAAGAGCTTCTTGATCAAAATTGGACACACGGCCTCGACCACTCTTGTCATCTAACGAAAAATTTCCCTCGCGAAATTTCTCAAACCAACACTGGCATTTTCTGGCGCTAACTGCATCTTGACCAAGAGCACTACAGATGTTTTTTGCAGCCTCACTTGCTTTTCTTCCTAATTGGAACTCGTAAAGCATGCAGTGCCGAATATGCTCTTCATCCACCATCTTCTTAGCCCTAGTCTTGCAACAAAAACCAAACCAAACACAAACTTTTTCAAGCAAAACTTGTTAATTGCACTTCACACGTTCTGTAGATACCACGAGTTTGAAGGTTATGTCAATACAAGTCAATGCCAAGCAAGATTTTAAACGAATGTTAAAAAACGACATTAATCATTACTAGACCCGATAATATCTCATGATTTCAACATGACTGTTACTGGTGAAATAGCCTGTAGGCTGACCACAGTGAGCAGTAATGCTAGATACAAAAGGAGACCTGGAATATACCAAAGTAAATAAGATGTGTCTTCGGTGGTCATACAAGACTAAGCGCTTGCAAATATTAATTCATTCAATCCTAATAACTTTGGGAGAAAAGCACTATTTCCCCCATTTTTAGTTCAGGAAGTTGAGGCTCAAACCAGATTATCTGCACATGGCCCAGGCACGGCAAAGCAGAAATACAAAAGTTTTGGGGTCTGTGCAGGTGTGAAGCCCACATATTAAATCCCCCTTAGCACTTATAAGAGTAGGAAATCCAGATTAAATATGCATTTATAGAAAAGACCAGGGCAGTGAAACCTCCCACCATCCAATTGTCCATGGACCTTGACTGAACAGTCATGCTTACTTGTCTCTGATCACTTCTAACTTTTACTAGATTTGAAGTATTATGAGGTGAATATAAACAACGGCTCTCCAACATGGTCCTTTTATTTAAGTAGCTTTTTACAAAAAGCAGGGCCTCAAACACTATAAAACAAGGTAGTTTATAACTATAGAGCTTTATTCATCCCCCTCTCAATTGCTCATTAGAGAATTTGTGTGTACTTTCCTTTAAACATAGCAGATGAATCCTCTTTGCTTTCACTCCCTTTTAAAATATCATTAAAGTTGCAGTAAAGGGATTTGAGAGCTACCAATGGAGAAAGGGGATAACCACAGGCAGGAAACCAAACTTTTGAAAAGTTGGAAACAGACTGTCAAGGAGCAGTGGGTGGAGCCGACTAGAAAAGGTAAGTGCTGGGAGGGAGACAGGAGAACTCAGTTTTAGTCAGGAGACATCTCTGAAGGCAGGGGCACAGGTGGGGTCAAACACAGGACAATGGGTTGAAAATTTATTTATGATCTCACCCCCCCGCCCCAAACCAGGAGCATCCCTCCCCTCATCCTGGATACTGAGTTTTTTCTGAAAAGGTTGAAAACTAAGACAATGGAAACTCAAGAGCTGAACTCTTGAGTGCTACACTAAATAACAGATGAAGAAAAAATTCTACATGCAGATTGGTGGATACAATGTGGACACATGCTCCCTCTTAGTTATAAAAACACCAACAACAAGCTAGCCCACTGTGGTAAGAAGAAACTAAAGGATTTTTCTCTCTGGGGAAACTCAACGAGAAAACATCTATAAATAATCACAGTTGGGGACAAGCCAAGAAATGATGGGTCCTATCCTGGCGAGGTAGCTAGTTGGTTACAGCATTGCCCAGATACACCAAGGTTTCCGGTTTGATCTTTGGACAAGGCACATAGATGAATCACCCAATGAATCAACAAAGAAACAGCACCCTTAAACAATACACTAGATAAGATGGATTTAATTGATATTCACAGAACACTTCATCCCAAAGCTGCAGAATATACATTCTTCTTAAGTACACATGGAATATTCTCAAAGACAGACCACATGTTAGGTCACAGAATAAGTCTGTACAAGTTCAAGAAGACTGAAATCATATCAAGTATCTT